AAATGAAATCATTTGTATATAAATCACAATTTATTTTTTCAAATCTCTGATGTAAGAATTCCAGAATATCAACTAAACATATTTAGTTAGGATGGTCTTTAGGTCTGAAGAATATAATTGCTTAACGCATCCCATCTAATTCAAGTCATAAAGCGGCAGTAAACCAGAAAAAGAGGGTCAAACATCGTAATATATACATCCTCCTCTCACCAATTTACTAGTGCAAAGTGCAAACAGCCAAAAATATTGGTACTTTGCAAGTTCTATTTCTTCATTGTGGTTGTTTCTTTAAACAAAAGCAAACTATATGATAGGGTCACTCACACTTTTCTTTCTGATATTATACATATTTTCGAGGCAAAACAAAAAATCGGAAGATTAACTTTATGCATGGAGCTCATAATTATGAAAGACTAACGGCTATAGGATGATCAGTTCCTCAAAGGATTATTTCACAATTATCTTGTAATTGTTTCCATGATAATTTCCTTGTAAATTCTTAATTATTAGCTTTCTGCTAGTGTTTTAGGTTTATCCAATAACTTGAAAAATTGACCTCTCGTCGCCAACGTATTTTGTATGGCCTTCAATCATACTTGTGTGATCTTCTAAATTATATACTTTTATGAGTCTATCCTAAGACTGTCTTGACCTCAATTTTCATCTTTTTCCCCAAATGATTAACGATTCACTTATATTTCTTGAGCTTTTGAAGATTTCTTTTTATTGTTTATTATTTAGGTAGAGATGTTTGATCAAATCATTTATAAGACACTTTTGATAAAAATATAAGACCACTTTGTATTTGGTTTCAGTTGACTAAATTCGTCATTGTGAGAACCGTCATAATCAAGCATCATCATCGTATTTTCTTTCCTGCAATTGATGCATGTTGAATACCAAATTCATATTAGTCTGACAAGTGAATTTAGTTCCTAAAATGAGACATCTTAATAATCAAATTCAAACCACTCCCGTCCTCATTTTCAGTATCTATAAAAAACAAAGCCTATGCACCATTTGACTTTGCGGTAATGAAAGGAATTAGACCCAACGGAAAGCACATGTACTAGCCAGTTCAGAAATTATACCAAGCTGTCCTTGTTTTTTTTTTTCCCTTTATAATTTTCCCAACCTCATCCATGAATCATGATAGTCAACTTTAACCTAACTTGAATGTATTATCTTATTCTCAAGTCTCATAAAATCTTTGTATGTTGAAATTACTTCGTCGCAAAACTACTTGCTTGTGTACATGTAGCACCGTCATATGCATATATGATAAACAAAATATTGTACAAATTTTTTTGTCTGACTTTCGAAATTTAGCGATATTGCTCTTTACAAAGTTGACAAATGTTGAAAGAAGTTGTAACCTAAATTCAGAAAAATTGGATAAAGAAAAACGTGTTGTTATAATTGGCCCAGCCCTTGTCTTAATGCATGCATGGGTTGCGTTATGGGAATCCAAAAGGAAAGGTATGGGGAAGAAATATAACTGTGCTGGTGCGGAATGGGGAGAAAAACACATTGATTTTTCTTGGTGGGATATGGCTGTGTGCTGGAATATGGTTGCAAAATGCAAACCCTAGATTGAATGCATGATTTGAGATTTTTTTTTCTTTTCAGTGTTTGTGCTGCTGCCTGCTGAGATCTAAGGTTGAAACGACAAGGCAGATATACAAAGCGACAAAGTGTGATGGAGGCTTTGAATTTTTTATACCAGAGCACTATGATTTTCCATTTTCCAGATCATACTAAATCGATTTTTCTGCATGCATACATGCTCACGCCCGCGCGCGCACACATATAGTATTCAAGGAACACTATATGTATTCAAACCCCCAACAATCAACAACATATATACACATATACATACATACATACATATATATATACATACATACATACATACATATATATATATATATATATATATATATATATATATAGTTTTCAAGGAACACTGAACCAGAAGCAGTCATTACTACTAGCCATTCATATCTCATTCTCGAAGTGTCAACCCAAAATACATTTATTCATTTTCTTCTTATGCTACAGTGACCCAACCATTTTCTCAACTTTTTCAACTCTTTCCTATCTTAATTACGTGTTTACGTGTTGAGTGGGATAGGTATAGAATATGAGCTCTACCTTTCTGTTTTCCTCTTCCTTTTTGTCAATGGATTTGTTCTTCTTATAGACAGCCTAAATTGGTGTCGCATTCCATCATATCCCAGTTTGATGAAGAAGATCGTTGTCGTGTAGGAGTGTGTAAGACACCTTAAGATCGACATTGCACTGAAATTTCACCCAAACTTTATCAAAATTTTCAATGAAATCTCTCCAAAATATAATATTTTAGATATTGAACCGAAGTGCTGTAATCCCACCAATTAATATTACCAAAATTTCAGACAAATTTCTAGAAAGATATGCTTCAGCACCCTCTCTCGAGTAACGGCAACCCCATTCATTCATACTCTTACAGTGACTAACGGACTTCATCACAAAGAGATTCTACTTTTCTGCCATATTATCTACAAGGATTATAGGACAGTACCTTTTTCACCATCAAAAGCACATTCGCATTTCTTGTGTTGTGTGCATGAAACCAGGACAATAAATAATTAAAATCATAAAAACGAAAAAATGGACTTATAATTCGACTAAACTCGTTCAATTACAACCTCCAACGGGTCACAATTTCATGTTTCAGACAAATGGACCAGGGCGGAACTATATATTTTCATGCGAAACCCATTGATTTTTCATACGAGGAACTGTTGCGTTTTCTCAGCGTTTTCCCACCTTTTCTCAGCAGTCAACCGGCGATTTTGTCTGTTTATCTTTTTCCTGGATATTTGAGAATGGAACAGGAGTGTCAGATTGTTTGTTGTTGCGGACTGTTCTTGTAGATAATCTTTCTCCAAAGTTGGTGTCTGGATATTTCCAGGTAAGATATTCATATACATTCAGAGTCCATAGTTTTTACTATGCGAGATTTTTGTCTTTAATAGTTAGGTAACGCTAGAAAGACTAAATTTATAAATAAAATTTTATAAACTAAATGACATAATAACGTGAGTATAATTAATTGGAATATAGCTCAGTTAATTTGTAGTTTGGAAGAAGAAGAATAGAAGAGAGATGAGTGCACTCGAGAGAGAAAATGGTTGCGGGTTTCTCTCTGCAAATCACAGAGGAAATATTCTTCTCATAGATTGCTATTCTCTCACTCCCACACACAAGTCGTGTAAAGGAGAATAATACCCTAAGAAATTCTTCGCTGGATCACTCTCTCTCTAGAAGATGATCTCAACCACTCATTTAGCTACTAGCTAGGATCATTACTCATGACACTCATGGCTTTACATATTAGAGCCTACTTGGCAATCTCAAACACAAGTGAATACACAATTAAGTACATGACTTATTCACTAATACTAATCAGCTCACTGCTTATAATTCAACATGTAGTTGATGATTGAGTTATTACTTAAAATTGATAAACGTGAGCATTCTTATTGATGACAAATCATTTAGTTAATTTGTAAATTTTGTCTACAAATTTTGTTTGCAAAATGTTGTCCTAGAAGTAGCAAAACCTATATGGCACGCAAGTTGAAGTAACTAGGCGCTAACTACATCCTTCAATGGCTTGAATGTGGTGGAAAACGTTGTTAACTTCTAGATCAAGCGACATTGGCTGATGAAGGAGCACTCTCAACCTTGGGTTCTATAACATAAAGACAAGGTTATGCAAATCACTGTGAAGTTCTAGATCTCATGCACCATGTTCAGCAAGATTGACTCTATTGGTGAGAACATAGGTCTGCTTAATCGGTATCAACTATAAGGACAAAGATACTCAAAGAAGATAAGTGTCTTTATCGTAAAAATAGTCTGGTCTTATGCTTGTCGAACTCTATATTGACTTGAAATTATACTATCATGGTCTTATGCTTGTCGAACTCTAAATTGACTTGAGATTATACTATCATAAAACATTTCACTTTGAGGAGAATGCTAATGAAGGGATCTCTTTCGACGAAAGATTCTTCGTCGGATAAGACTTGATAAATAGTCAATCACATTTTTTGGAGAATCCCCGTGTATCCAATCGGTCAAAACTCCTAAGGAAAATTTTACAAATCTTATCCAATAAGAAATTGTGCTGACGGTTAGTGAAGCATTTAGTTTTCATATAAAGTGTGAGAGGTTTCGCATAGAGCATTGATTTGCGTGTTCAGTTGAAGAGGATATGTTGCAAATCTTCTTGTATTTATAGGGACAAATTTTTTTTATGCTCAAGTAGTAGAGTTCTGATAATACTACATTTCCTCGCATTATCTGGATATACTTGGAATTATCCTCACCGATCCTTCCACCGAAACTCTGTCAATGGCAGGGCTCCGTTTCTTCGACTTAGAACTAAGATTCTGAATTTGGTCGCATCATGTGATGAATTCATGCCTTATCCAAAGACCAATCCTAATCCTTGGGTGATTAATTCAAATATTATCAGAAACCCATCTTGATCCTTAGACAATCATACTTCGCCTAGGACTCGGGCATGCCCAAACTCAATCTTGATCCCTCAAACAATCTCACATCTGGAACTCAATCGAGCCACCAACACTTCACTACGGGCCGAGCATTTTACCGTTGGGCCGAGACTTGCGGCCCTTTTCTAGGCTATCAACTAACTTGACCCAAATTCAGGATTTCAGGCCCAAATAATATCTTTAAAAAGCTTCAGAAGACTTAGGTCTGGTTTGGTACTGAGATGCTTTTATAAAAAATACGTATAAAAAAAGCTAAGTTCAGAAAGATGTTTGGTAAACACTTAAAAACAGCTCATTTTCACAGTTTTGGGTGAAAAAAAGCTGAAAACGTGAAGCAGCAAAAATGAGTTTATTCTCACAGCACAGCAGAAGCAGTTTTTTTTCAAATCACAGCAATACCAAACCAGTCTATACTAAGTAAATAACAAGAAGAACGCAACAAATTTTCACAGCTTAAAAAAGATTTGGCAACACCCAGATTGGCAGTTGCTTGGCGTTGTTTAAAGAACTCTTAGCATATTTTTCTTTCGGCTTTGAAAACCTTTTTGATTTGATGTTGTACACACTAAATAATCAACGCGCAACAAAATATTCCTCATGGTAACCTACATTATATAAGGTAGTTTTAAATTTTAGAACCCAAAGTGGCGCTGGCGACGTTCACGCTCAACAGTCCTGGTTCCTCTCCTCCACTTAACGATCTACAAGTCAACAGTTTTCACCAGATAAGCTACAAAACATGGTTTTGAATAAATTATTTTCAGTAGGTGTGTAATTCCGGGTTGTAGAAACGTACCTTTGTGAATCAAGATGATTTGCATATGGAAAAATCTATGTGTAGGTAAGCTACACTAGCCATGAAAATGAAGAAAAACGTAGACACCAACATCAGGGGTTCTGCCAGCATAAAGATTGGGTTGAAGGTGTAGTAAACCTGCCAAATAAAGCAAAGGAGAGAAAACATATTATTTGAAGGTTGTGCACAGGATACGTGTATCATGTATGGGGACAAAACATAAGAATACGAACCTAGGAAATTCAATTCCCTCACAAGACAGTACTTCAATACTTAGTTGATCAACCGATAGTATCATTGTATGAACATTTCACAAGTGAACATACATATGCTAGGACCAATTCCAAAACCTTGCAATGCGAAACTAAAATACATGCTAATCTTTGAGGCATATTTCTATCGTGGGATACTATTAGGTGAGCAATACTGATCCTAGATACGCTCCCACAAATGACACAGAATTTAAAGGCGCATAAGTTCTCCAAGTGGTAAGATAAACCTTATCAAATTTCATAGGCAACATGTGGGAGTAAAAATCTTAACTGTAGGGTTCAGAGTAGGGCAAAATCCAACCAATGTTAGTGATAGATTAGTCACCTGGAAACGAGAGTTGTGCTCTGGAACTACGTTCCTCTTTTCAAGAACCACCACTGTCCTTCCAGCAACATCAAGGTATGAATATTTGGTCTGCAGGTATAACAATGAAAATATATGCACAGTACCATTATATATATATATATATATATATATATATATAAAATATTCTTGGCAATGAAAAATAGAGTTAAGATTGCTTCTATGCACTTTACAATTAATCGGATGTATAGAGAATGTTGAGAATTATCATACAAAGGTGTTTGTCCATATGAATAAAGCGCTACATTAAGTTTACCTCTAGATGTTGCTCAACCGAAAAAGGAACCACAGCAGAAGGATCTTTTGATCCCTCTGGTAGCACAACCTGAAATATAACAGTGCCTGAATCAGTAAATTAATATTCCCATGTCTAGGGGCAAACAAAATGAAGAAAGAGCTGACGGAACTGAAAAATATAGAAATATTGAAGCAAAAACATAGTACTAAACGCACTTTTACAGTTAACTTGTCTACCACCGTCTCAGCGAGAGGACAACCAAAAGTGAAATTGAGGTATCGCCTGCCATCAGGTGACTCAAAAAGGAAATCTTCCAATGGTAACCCATACCCAATCACAAATGTAGCTTTCCAACCTCCAAATAAAGGATAGCGTGGTTCAATTTCAAGATCCGACTGAAAAAAAAGTATTGAAAAAGTCATGATTAATAGAACCAAAATCAGAGTTGTCTATGCACAAAATGGATATTATTCTGCATTGTTTTTCCAAGTGAACTTCCCTGTCTATTCGCTAAATCTTGTTCTTGTGTTTCCAATGCACAAATAAAGAGAGATTCTACGAAGATGGCAACGAGCAAGCAAAACATACATACAAGGATAACTGCCTCGAATATATAAATGTTAAATTGCCAGGGAGAAAAGTTACCCTTAGATAATCTGTACGTAAATGCGATGATGAGATGTTCCCAATTTCATCCCGGTAGTAGACAGAATGGACCCTAGGAGGTAGTCTGGCTAGAAGATGTTTGAATGAAGAGACACCACCAGCATGTGGCTTAGATTGATAGTCTACCCTGCCAAAATTTGGAAGCCTTGGAAGATTAATATTAAGAATGAAGCTGTCTTAACCTTGGTCAAGCATTACACAAAGTAATTGATATCTTTTGCATTCATCCAACTCAACCGTGCAATGATAAGTCTTTAAAGTTCACCTTTTAAGTAGCTTATTCATAACTTTAAAACCATTCACATAGTGTTATGTCTTCCAGCAATTAAACGAGGATGATTTTCTAGTATGAGACTGGTTATCTAGTAAGAGGCCCATTTCGGTTTGTCTTAGGCCCCAAAAAGCTCAAGATCAACCTTGACCGTGTATCAGAGACTCAGTTTTCTTTTAAGTAGGGTGTTTGTATTTATTTTATCAACGTTATATATAAATGCATATACTTGCAAAGAGCAGGATTTGCGACATCATCATATTATGAAGAAATATAAACATTTTATGATAAATTTATCCTACAAAAGTTTTACTGCATTCAATTTTATTGTATCAAACTCTTTTCACTGACTACAACCTTTTACATTAAATACACAAGATAATACCAGCAGCAGAGGTTACCTTGAAAATATTCCTTTGTGTCGAGCACCAGCATGTGCCAACTTGTAATGCTCTGTGATCTGAAGACTGCCCCAGTGAGATACTTCGACTTCACGTACAAGCTCCTCAACAACAGCAAAGGGATTATTATTCTCAAAATGAACAATTACTGGAGAATAAGAGTATGTTGGACGATCCTTGTATGGCCCATACTTTATTTCGGAACCAGCACGGTTAGTGGACTCTACTCTTGTAAATGATTCCACCCTAGTACTAGGCGTTCTTATAAAAGTTGTCTGCTGCTTGATATAGTATGGAGACAATATGATTGCACTATCACGGTAGTAGACCAACTGAGACTCTGATTGGCTTATCTCCGCTGGGAAAGGCTCCAGAGAATGTGTCAATATGTAAAGCACCTCTAGTGTTGCAGTTTCACCAGCATTTAGTGGGTTGAGCAATGAGATAGAAAACGATTTAGCCCCATTTGGTGCATCAGGTAGCTCAGTGGGATTGACTTCAAGGGGCACATAACTTTTCTTTTTCTTTTTTCCAACAGTGATAGCTGCTTTGAGTGATGCTAGGTGATCAACCTGTGTGGGTGGAAAAGCAAGGAGTACTTCCGAAACAGGAGATGTACCAGTGTTTTCGACCTGAAGGACAACTCCATCAATTTAATAAACGATAAACATCCCAGTAGAATAGAATGCGAAATATTACTTTGAAAATGACTAATCTTGCTTGCTCATAAATTATGCTTGTCTACAGTGTCATGTTGGTCATCGTTTCAAGCATAGTGTCCCGCCTTTACACAGCCAACTCGCAGGTCGCGTGCCAATTTATAAAAACTAAAATTTCAAAAATCTCTGATATTGTGATTCTATTATCCACATTATGCCAGATTTGGGCCAAAAACGATGGAGTGGAGCATGACAACTTAAATCAAACCATAATTTGTCAGGAAAACGAAGCTTCGTAAGACCATGGTTTATAAAGCCACTACATCAAAAACTGAACCTAAGATCAACTTTCAAATGACTAATGCCATTGCTATATTACTAACAAAGTACGATTGTCTATTGTACCATGATGTCGATCATCATAACAAGTGTAGCGTGCCAATTTGTAAATATGACAACCCGTATTTCCAGTATTCAACATAAAAACTAGTTCATTGATCCACATTATGCCAGATTTGGGCCGAAAACGATACAGTGTAGCATGAAAACTCAAATCAAAGACTGAACCTAACCTCAAGTATCCACATTCATGCCGAAAATGATAAGCGAAAGACATGTATGAAATCTCAAACCGTGATAAAGATTTAAAATTTATTCGCAACCCACCAAGGTGTTGAAATTTTTACAAAACTGGGTTCATTTTACCACACAGAAAATCCAACAAAACAGAAAAATCCATACCTTTAAAGTCAAGAAAACCTTCACAATATGAGAGGTCAAGTCAATCTGCAACACAATAAATTAATCAGATCAAACGTAATTAGATATAACCAAATCAAATTAGAGTATTGATGAAGAGGAAATGAAAGGAAGAGGCTTACTCTGCGCTCTGCGGTGATGATCTGGAGATCCTGAGTGGAAGATGAGTACGCGAGCAGGGAGAGATGGGAGAAGATCCACAAGGCTAGGACTAGTTGACCTAAGCTTCGCAGAGCTTCCATGGCTTCCGGTGAAAGAGCGTATGGAAGCTTACCTTGACCTCCTGCAACGACCGATCTGGGAAAGGCTTTTGCTGGGCTATTCCATGGTATTCAAGCTTTGACCTTTGTGCTTCATGGGTTTTGGGCTTACATGGACCTTGTTTTGGCTGGCTCATTTTTTAATATATTTTTTTTATACAACTATAAGTTTATATAAAAATATGAGAACTTTAATTAAAAACTCCCGGTACTGTTTATTTTAACGAAAAAACATAATTTTATACTGAAAAGTCAATCATTGTACTATTCATTATATCCTTTATTTTTTCTTTATCGTTAAAACTCAAAATTTTCAAATCATTTTCATTAATTTTCTTTCAAAATATATGAGAATAGATAAGTATCGAACTCTCGTAATTTATGAGATTTTAACATTGATATTAAGTAGTATTTGACTGACTCATCTTATTTGTTTCAGTACTTTGATTGAGACGAATAAGATTCCAAGTATGAAGAGAACGTAATCGGTTTGTATCAAACGATGCTTCTTAATTCTTTTATCATCATATGTCACACGGAACATTATCTGTATACAACGGGCGATAATCTGATACATAATTATGTGTTCATTTTTGTCAATATATATCACATGATATATGATTGTTTACATTTATGAGTAAAGACAAATCGTCTCCCACACCCAACTTTTTATTTTTTTTTCAATTAAGCAAAACAAGATAATTAATGTCCTTATAAGTCTTTTTGCAAATTGACAAATTTGTAATTAAAAAATTCATTAAAAGATGGGTGGGAAAATAAGACATTTGGATGAGAATAACATCACTCTATTTCTATTATCACATATCACGTGATAACTTAAATTACAACACTTCCAATCTTTGGGGTGTCAATATTACCTTATTTCATTATCTGAAATAATAAGAGTACAACATAACTTTAACTGATATTTTTCTTCTACATTCCCTTCTGTCTTTCTTTCCTCTTTTCTTGCGATGTTTTCTCCTCTCTTGCTTAAATGATTGTTTTATAGGCAAAGTGTCTTTCAAGTTACACTTTATCTAACAATTTTATAAATGTATGGGTAGTCCACTCAAACCAAATAACAGAACCAAATAACAGATGGAAGACACGTGACCATCCATATTTACCACACTTCCAATCTTATATATATATATTTTTTTTTGCCAACATTTACACCGAAATCAAAACTTAAATTCTTGTTATATGCTAACTTGCTAACTCTAAATCTTATTTAGACTTCTAAAAATGGATAACAACCATAACCTTTTATAAAACAGTACACAAGGGAAAATAATTTTTATTTATTATTTGATGAACACAGTACAGTGTATGCACACGAGAATTTGAAACAGTTTAGACAATATTTAATGACTTCATGAAGTCGTACATTCCTATATACCACTGTTCCTCCAACGTTGGAAGTTACGAAAAAATATATATAAAAAAAGGGCAATGTGTTCTAGAGAGTGATGCACCAAACACTGCCCTTTTCCCGTAACTGCAGCAACTGAACTGAATTCTCTCTCTCTCTCTTAGATTAGATCCTCCCCTTTGGACTCGGGACCATCTCCAGCCTGCCCTTCCCCCTAAAAGCTCAGAAAAATAAGATTAGAGAGAGAGAGAGAGAGAGAGAGAGAGAGAGAGAGAGAGAGAGAGAGTCACTGACGTTGTCATCATTGTTATCACATTTTTGTATGAGCGGCCTCGTTTGGTACGTCGGACTGTTTTGAGTGATATTAGAGAGAGAACGGAATCAGACATGGCGTGCGTGAAGCTGGGATCCAAATCTGAAGTCTTCTTCCTTGATGGCAAAACTTGGTACGTTCTTTTCTGGTCCTTCAGGGTTTTCGTTTGTTTCTGTATATTGCCACCACAGTTCTTTTAACATGGTGATTTCAGACTGCTGGGTTTGGGTTTTTCATATATTCATATATACCACTGAAAATATTTTAATTTATGGTTTTTGGGATTTAGCCGACCTCACTTAGTGGGAAAAGGTTTTGTTGTTGTTTTTGTTATTGTTGTTGTTGTATGGTTTCTGGGATTTCGCATTCCTGTTAGTTTCTTGTAGAGAATTGTTCAATTGGGTTTTGTTCTTTTTGTCATTGATTTATGAATTAATCAAAGGTTATGAGTTGAATTACTGACTTATGCTAATACTGAGGATGATTAGTTAATGGTTAATTTCGTTTAGCAATACTCTTGATATGCTAAGGTATGTATTTTCTACTGTTTCATCGATCCAGGACTGGACTGTGAGCATCAGTGTGTGTGTGTGACTCTGCACACATTGTACGCATAAATTGTGTGTTCTGATGTATTTACCTATGATTAATTATAAGAATGTCTTCATTTTTGAGCTTTCTTGTACTAATGCACCTTCCTTACCTAATCTTTTCCCGGCATTGTCAAAAAACTTCACTCCTTTGTGCATTGTTATTTTTCTGTCGTGTCACTCAAGGGATCTGTCATATGTAATCCGGGATCTGCGAAAACTTGTTTTCATGTGAAAATGTTAGAAGATTTACCAGTCGTTACAGGGTGAATTGATATGGTTTAAGCATATTGTACAACTTCAATGATACAACGATTAGGAAAAGATGCATTAATTCAGTTCATAGAGAGATTTAGAAGCGTAAATTTTTTGCTCTATAAATTGCTGGTGTTTGGGAGAAAAGCAAAGCATGGAATTGGTCTTATAAACCGCGCAGAACCGTATAAATTTCCACATCGAGACTTGTATCATTGTGACCGGGAACTGTCTTTTTACAAGAAATGCTTTATGTACTTACTTTCATCTGTTTCAATCTTCTCTGAAAATTGTTGACTTAAGTAATATCAGAAAGTGTACGACTTAACCTTGCTAGTTTTTTGCCAATGCTTTCTCGCCAACGGTTTTTATATGGTTTTGGACTGAAGTTGAACTGTTGTAATTCTTTTGTCACATAATTTTGTGCCCTCTGCTGTTAAAACTCCTTCATCCTTGATCCTTTTGGGGTCACTGGCCTGGTTGCAACCTGTCGGATCCCTCAACGGATTTTTTTTGAAGATAAAAGATAAGTTTCATATAGCAGTTGAGTTGAATGGTGCGATCGATTCGACCTCTATGTCCTTCTCTTCTTTACTGGAGAATAAGTGATCTCTTTGGCAGGCTTTGCTCAACTGGACTTGCTAGTGACGTCATAGTTGAAGTTGGAGAAACGTCTTTCCATCTCCACAAGGTGAACCTTACTTGGTCAAGCTTAAAATTTTGTTCTTCTTTCGTTTCTCGTTATGAACTCTACATAATGTATTAGTACTACGATTGTGTTTCGGAAATCAAAAGCCTATTCTCTGCCTTGCATCTCAAAACTTTTGCGGATTTTATCAAATGTTTATATATGCAGTTCTGTGTTTTCTTTCACGCCTGTGCTCATGAGCTGTAATTTTTCTACCTTTGTTCGATATGTCCACCAGTTTCCATTGCTATCGAGAAGCGGATTACTAGACAACATTATTGGAGAACTTCCTAGCGAGGATGAGCAAAAAGGCATAGTGCAACTGCATGACATTCCAGGTGGAGCCAAAATTTTCTTGCTGGTAGCCAAATTTTGTTACGGTGTAAGAATGGAACTCAACGCATTGAATGTAGTAAGTGTGAGGTGCGCTGCTGAGTATCTTCGTATGAGTGAAGAATACAGTGAGGGAAACCTCATCACGCAAGCGGAGGATTTTCTAAACGAAATCTTCAGCAATTGGAGCGACAATTAAAGCACTCGAAACCTGCGAAGAGGTCTTGCCTCATGCCGAAGAGCTTCATCTTGTTTCGAGATGCATCAATTCATTGGCAATGAAAGCGAGTGCCGATCCAGGTTTATTTAGTTGGCCTGTGACGGGAAAGGATGCCGTGCAGAGCTCAGAGGGTGTGGTGTTTTGGAATGGAATATGCACGACAGCAAAGCCACACCCGGTCAGCGAAGATTGGTGGTATGAAGATGTCTCATTCCTGAAGTATCCATTTTTCAAAAGGCTGATTCGAGCAGTTGAAATAGGAGGCATGAAGCCAGAGAGGAAGGCTGGCTCAATAATGCACTACGCAAAGAGGCATCTTTCCTTGTTGGGCAGGCAATCAAGTTTCCATAATGGAAATCGTGTTGCCCCGTTATCAACTGTTCCTGCTGCATCTGATGGAGACCAAAGGACTCTCCTTGAGGAGATTGTGGGATTACTTCCTGATCAGAAGGGCGTTACGCCAACCAACTTCCTGCTTAGGCTTCTCCGAACATCTATGATTTTGCAAGCTAGTGCATCATGTCTCGAGAGCTTAGAGAAACGAGTTGGTGCTCAATTGGATCAAGCAGCTCTTGAAGATCTTCTGATACCAAACATGGGGTACTCAGTGGAGACCCTATATGATATTGACTGCGTTCAGCGGATTCTTGACCACTTCATGCTCATGGACCGCGATTCAATTAATTATACTTCTAGCTCTATTGTTGATGAGGGCCAGCTGATCGGCTCTTCTCAACCGCTGACTGCAATAACCTCGGTGGCAAACCTGGTGGATGGATATCTTGCTGAAGTTGCACCTGATGTTAACTTGAAACTGCAGAAATTTCAGTCACTAGCTGCTGCTATCCCGGAATATGCCAGACCATTAGATGATGGAATTTATCGTGCTATCGATGTATACCTCAAGGTAAAGGTCCTCTAAATTCTGTTCATACTCAAGATTATTTCATAATTTAAAGCGCTAAAACGAGCTTTTGGTTCCTCTAATTTTGCTATTGAAAAATACAGGAACGAAAGTGGAAACTTCGCGATACCACAGGGACTCGAAAACATGCTTTCGCTTTTGAATATTGCATCCGTTAAAATGTTCATATTTCATTACTTCTTCAACATATATTTAATGACTGTTTGATAACCTTTTCTGACTTAGCATTCAAATGCTTACATTTTTCTCAAGTTCAGGCCCATCCTTGGCTGACAGACTCCGAGAAGGAACAAATCTGCCGGCTTATGAACTGCCAGAAGCTCTCATTGGAAGCCAGCACGCACGCAGCGCAAAATGAGAGGCTGCCACTTCGCGTCATTGTCCAAGTTCTGTTCTTCGAACAGCTTCGCCTGCGCACATCAATTGCCGGCTGGTTCTTTGCATCTGACAACCTCGAGAACTCACAAACCCAAAGTGGAAATCTTGCGCTTGCTCGAACTGAGGCACCTACTCAAGCTGGCACTACGCGCGATCATGTTGCAACAGTTGACATGAGAGAACGAGTTTTGGAGCTTGAGAAAGAGTGCTTGAGCATGAAGCAAGAGATTGGGAAGCTGGTGAAGACAAAGGGGAGTTGGAACACATTCTTGAAGAGGTTTGGCTTGAGGCTCAAGTCAAAAGCTAATGCAAAAAAAACACCCAAACCCTGCAAACAAAATTATGAATATAATCGATTAAGAGATTGAGATAAAAAAAAAAACGCGAATTTTAATGGAACTTGTTTTTTCTGTTTTTTGGGATAATTTTCTTTTCATTTTTATCTTATTCTTTTTTCTCTAGTTAATTAATAATTAGTTTATCTTAGCACCTAGCAGCATTTTTTTTTTTGAAGTTTTAACGAAACATTCCCGGTACTTTTTATTTTTAACAAAAAATCATATTTTTACTTGTTTATGATACTATTCACTACACCTTTATCTGTCATTTTTCATTAAATCTATTTTATTTTATTTTCGTTAATTTTCTTTTTTTTTTTCCGAGTGTTCATGCGAGTCGGACTGGAGTCGCTGCTCCTTTTCATCCCGTTTGTGTGCAAATCCTGGTACCGTACCAGTTGTACCGACCAAAAAGGAAAAAATAAAATATTGGACTTTTTATTTTAATATTACTCAATTTGTTAGTTTAATATGCGAATTTCCGCAGACTTGAGTTGGACTGGTTAGTTGGTGACCATAGTGTGTTCACAACAGTAATGCGCATCTAGGGTTTTCATTTTAAGAAGATGTGATATCATCTTTCATTTAAACCTTAGATTAAACGGACCGTGGTTTAATCAGTAACCTTATATTATCCCTCTTACATCCTAACAAAATAATAATCTTGATTAAAAAGAAAGTTCATCATGCGTGAAACTTCTCCATCTTCTTCCCCTACCCGTCTCTCTCCCCTCCATCCCTCTCTCCCCCTCCTCTCCCTCTCCGTCTAAGCTTTTTGCGTGAGCAGCAATGCAAATGGTTGAGATTAATGAGGTCATCTTTCCTTTCGATGTTGTAGAAAGTGGATCTTTTATTAGTCAACACAGGAATAGTTTCTTGTTGGCCAATATTATTCTTAATCTTAATATACTAATATCCGCATTAATGCCCGTGCAAAAAGCTTAGACGGAGAGGGAGAGGGAGAGAGAGGTATGGAGGGGAGAGAGATGGGTAGGGGAAGAAAACGAAAGAGCTTCATGTGTGAACCTCTTTTTTAATCGAGATTATTATTTTGTTAGGAACTTAGCGTGTAACAAGAATCATGTAAGGTTATTATTGATTAATGCATCATCGGATTAATTTAAAGGTTTAAAGGACAGAGGACCTTACAGGTCCTCAAAATGATGACCTTAGATGAGCATTACTCGTATTCCCAATCTATTACATTTTTAAGTTCAAATTTTATTTTACTTGGATTTGACCAATTGGTTAAAGCGGCGTGCCCGTAACTTATCAAATTTAAGTTCAAATCTTCTTTTATTTGGAGCAAGAGTACTTTAAAAAATATTATTTTATCCAAAATATGAGAGAATTCTTTTGATAGAAATTTGTGTTGATCTCTTAATTTTCCATTTTTCCAAGAAAAACACTTACGAAAAGGTTCGTACTCGGGATTTTATGTCCGATTTCTATTCTCCAGTAATTTTCCATTTTTCCCTAACAAAATATTTATAAAAAAAATATACTCGAGATTTTAAATTCGATTTCTCTAATTCAACTTCGGATGTATAAGGTTGGTAGTTTCGGGGCCTAGTAAAACCAAGCTGCAACCCAAAACAAGAGTTGTGGGCCGAGAACAAATAAGGCCCATTTTGAGAATCTGAATAGATAAAGGAGGCAATCGCTCTCTGCAAAGAAGCAAAGCTTACATCTGCCACCTCTGTTTAACGTCGTTCGTCACTGTAAGCACCCTCACCTGCAATAAAGTTTAAATATTTGCATAATTTTTTGTTTTTTTTTATATTTTTATTTCATGTGCTTCTTGTGCTTTATATATGAAATTTTGTCTGTTTTAATTTTTGGAAAATGGGTAACAAGATTGAGTTTCTTGAGCAATGAACATAAGGTGTTTGTTGAAATGCCCAGCTGAAATTTTCAGTGCCTTCTTTTTACATGTTGCGATTTTGCTAACTAAACTGTTGTCATTGTATTGTTTTCTGTATATGCTAAGTGGGTTTAATGTTTCGTGGGTTCATGCTAAACTTTGCAATCTGATATATCTAATTTTTCTTCTGGTCTGAACTATTTCTATCTTTCTTGCAGATATGGTTTCTTATTCACTTGTTGGGTTTCTGGTTTCGTCTTGAATTTACGAAAGATTCTTAATATCTAGCATTTCGTATTATGCCTCAAACCCCTTTGTAGTTGTTAGAAGCTTTGTTAGATTGTGAAGCTATAATGTCATTTGTAGTCACCTCTTCCTCCATTGCCACCTCCTCGTACTTTAACCGCCATAGCGTTTCTAAATTAAAATCCTGTGAGAATACTACGAAACATTCATGTGTTCCGTTTGTTCATTGCAAAAGCTCATTTTGCATTACAGAAAATATCCCTACAACTTCGACAAGAAACCCAAATGGCATTTTGAGGTCTACTGTAATGAGCTGCACAAAGCCTGATTATCAGTCTTTTGCTGGAGAAGACGCGGTTTTTCTTGACTTGGGGGATAATGAAGACACAGAGTCGCCCTGGGAAGGGGCAGTAATTTACAAGAGAAACGCTTCGATATCACATGTTGAGTATTGCACAACGTTGGAGAGGCTTGGATTGGAGAACCTTTCAACAGAGGTCTCGAAATCTAGGGCTTCAGTTATGGGATTACGGGTCACCAAAGCTGTGAAGGATTATCCACAGGGCACACCGGTTCAGATCTCCATTGACATAACTAGGAAGAAGCAAAAGCTGAGGCTTGATGGGATCATTAAAACTGTTATCACGCTGACTTGCAGCAGGTATTTTAATTTCTTATTTGATTGATTCCTGTCATCCTGTGATGCCGATAATCGATACACCTTATTCCTCTTATTATATTTTGTTGATATGCATTCATATTATATTCTCTTTTGAAATGTGTAAGTGTTCGAGTTTGCAATTTCACTGTTATTGTTGCTGTTTCCTGCCACTTTTATGTGTTATATAAAATTAGGATTAATTATGCATGAGTCTTCATTTGATGCTTGTGCATTGAATCAGTTTAGCTGGCCTTAGAGACTAGGAAACGTGTCCATTTGAAAAACACAAGTTATGTTGTACCGCTTAGCCCTCTAGTCCGCAAGATGTGAATAGTAAGGAGACATTCCACTGTTGGGAACCTGCCATTTTCCTAGGTGGGAAGCCTCTAAGCTTTTGATGTTAAATCCCAAAAAGGGGAAACTTAAGATAAACCAGGAACTACCAAGAGATCCTGTTGAACTTCTATCTTTGCATTCACCTCTCTTGGTAATGAATATTGTTCTAGTTTCTTAAAGTTGGGACCGGTTCTATGTATTATTGCTCAAGTCGGCTGATGGAAACATTGATAACGTTCCATACATTTTTCTTTCTTTATAATATGCTATTTTCTCTGAGTTAAGATTTGTTCATTATGTTGAAGGTGTGGAGAGCCAGCGGCGGAGTGCATTTTCTCCAACTTCGCCCTTCTCCTAACTGATGAACCCATTGAAGAACCTGATATCATCAATCTGGGAGTGATGTATGGGGACAATTCCAAAACTTATACCGAATTTGCTGACCAAGAGGAGGAAGATGATGAAGCCGCAATTGACTTCGAGGATCAGCTGTATTTTCGCCCCGATGAAAAAGAAATAGACATTTCAAAGCACATAAGAGACGCCGTGCATCTGGAGATTACAATCGCGGCAGTATGTGATCCGAGTTGCAAGGGTTTGTGTCTCGGTTGTGGTAGGAATTTGAACACTAGCAGTTGTACTTGCAGTAAAAAGGATGTAAAGAAGGGTCTTGGACCTCTTGGAAACTTAAAGAAGCAAATGCAGCAAAAATGACACATATATATTGATCTGTGAAAATGCAGCTAAATGTTTTTAGTTCAAGCACGTCGTGAATACTTTGTTTCTTCAAACTGAGAATTACTACAAAATTAGGGCTCATCACGTAGTTAATCAATCCATAATCTAAAATACTACAATGTGCTTGACCACTTGACCTAGAAGTCTTTGCAACATCGTTTATGAGACGAGCGCAGAATTGGCGAAAAAATGGTAGAGTTGAGATAAGAAAAGCCGTAAATATCAAAAATCGATCATTTGTTACAACGTGGGAAAATAGAAACTCATTTCGACGAGAAAGATTTATATAAAATGAGTTGAGCGTCATCATGGTGTCCTAATTTAATAATATAATGTCATGTGTAAGTTTTTTTTTTTTTTCACATAATGTTGTATTATTAGACTAGGACACCAATAACGATAAGCCCGTTTAAGGTAAGTTTTTATACAAGTGATAGGTTTTCGACACTTAACTCCTACATAACGGTGTAAAGGTTCAATGCAATAAAAAAGGTGGAAAAAAATGGGTAAGTTACATAGTAACCCCTCAGGTTTGAGGTCTATTACAATCTCATACAACATCTTTAAAACATTTCAATTTCATACCTCAAGTACTATTTTATTTAAATATAATACATCCGTTAGATTTTCCATCCATTAATCCGTTAAATGCTGACGTGGCTAACACATTTGTGCCACGTGGCAAAAAAATATTTTTTAATTTTTTTTAACTGAATCTTCAACCGGAAAAAAAAAAACCCAAATCCAGATCCCATCACCCCCCCCTAAAACGATTATCCCTTCCCTAGACCCCCCATCCCACCCTCAGTGGTTATCCCTCCCCCCAACCCCCCCTCTGCTACAAACCTCACTGTAGCATCCCCCAACCCCGCGACTCACCTTACTCAAGCCCCCCCTTCTCCCCCTGTTCCTCTCTTCTTCCCCCTGCAACTCAGAAAAGAAAGGGAAGGAAAAAAAAAAAGCCCAAATCGCGTCTACACCACCATCGCCGGGTTCGTGAGGTGGAATCGGGTGCGAGGATGGGTGCGGGTGCAGAGGAAGAGAACTGGGTTGTTGTTTTTTTTTTAAATTTTTTTTTAATTTTTAATTTTTTTTTCGGGTTGCAGGAAGGAGTTTCGAGGGAAGAAGATGAACATGGAGGAAGGAGAAGGGGAAGGAGAAGGGGGAGGGAGGGTGAGTGCGGGTGCGAGGAGAAGACGAATTGGTTGCATGAATGGGGATCTGGGGAGAGAGGGTCGCGGGTGCGGAGGAAGACGAACTGGGTTTTTTTTTTTTTTTTTTTTTCGGGTTGCAGGAAAGGGTTTTGGGGGAAGAAGATGAACATGAAGGAGAAAGGGAAAGAGAAGGGGGAGGGAGGGTGAGTGTGGGTGCGGGGAGAAGACGAACTGGTTGCAGGAATGGGGATCTGACGAGGGAGGGTCGCGGGTTAGGGGGGTGTTCTGGGTTTCAGGTTTTGGGGTGGGGTTATGATTTCAGTTTTTTTCTTCTTCTTTTTTTAAATTTTTTTTAGAAGATTTAGGTTTTTTTTAAGAAATTTTTTTTGCCACGTTACACACATTTAGCAGTTATGTGGTAGCTACGTAATCACTTAACAGATTAATGGATAAAAAAACTAACGGACGTATTATTTTGAAATAAAATGGTACCTATGAAAGTAAAATATTTTAAAGATATTGTATAAGTTTGGGTAAGATCTCAAACCTCAGGATTACTGTGTAATTTACCTCAAAAAAAAATTAAAAGGAAAACGGAACAACCTAGCACCAAGCAGCCATCGAAGCCTTCCCGCAGGCCCGTGTCCCACCCCCCTCAGCCACTCAACGATCCATTCCTCAGCCACCCCACACCTGTAGGCGGTCATCGCACTCCTTGTCGCCGGAAAAATAACCTTCTCTTTATCTCTTTCTTTATCTGTTGGCTTGACTCTTTCTTCCCCTCCTGATCCGACTAGAGAGAGAACAAAACCCTAAAGTCCCAAATTCGATTCAGTTCAATTCAGTTCGTTTCCAATTCAATTAGCAGTGGTTTGGGGCCAGATGATCAAGGCGATGACAAGCGTCAGCAGAACAAAAGCCGGCGCGGCTGCGATTAAATCATCGACGTACAAGCGATGGGGGCGGAGACACCCGTTTATCCGATACGGCCTTCCGATGATCTCGCTCACCGTGTGCGGCGCGGTGGGGCTCGGTCACATGATACAAGGAAGCAAGGACATCGCGAAGGTGAAGGACGATCAGGAGTGGGAGATAATCGAGACCCGAAAAGCACTTTCCAGAACGGGGCCCGTTGACGCCTACAAGCCGAAGAACACATCGCTCGAGGAAGAGCTCAAGGTACAAGCTTTGTAATAAGCCAAAAGCCATAAGCAGTTAGAAAGTGCTTTTGGGAGCTTTTTTTTATTTATTTTGGCACTTACCCAATTCGTTTTTGCAGGTTTTGCAGCAGAAAGTGGACATTAACAAGTACGATTACAAGCCGATTCCTCGCCCAAGTGAAGGAAAATGATAATTCAGCCTCAATGCAATGCATTAACTTGTGGTTTTGTTGTTTATGTGCTTGGAGGGAATTAGTTCAAGTTTTTGGGCTCAATCAATAAGCAATTAACAGTTTAACACCATGTTTGATGCTTCATTCTCTCAACTGCACTGCATCTTTCTTTCTTTGCTATCCTCCATAGCGATTTGGACTCCTCGTTTAGCCGTTTGCACACCAAATTGAATATTATTTTATGATTTTTCCATAAACTTTCAAGTGGCACAGCCTCTCCGGCGCGGTAGTACCATAGCCTGAAAGTAATATTTTGCCACCCAACTGGCTAATCACCCACGGAGATATGAAGCAAATTATATATCTATCCTCAGTAAACCGAAAGCACGAGGCGGTCGAGGAGGCGGTCTTGTGTCCGGTGGGATGGGGTTGTGTGTATAGGTCGGACAGGTATCGTGGTTCGCTTCAAAGCAAGAAAAACAGCAGAAACTCTATTGCCTTGCGTTCCAAGCTTCACACTCTGTCTCTCCCCTTCTGTTTTTAATTCCCTCTGGATGTAGGGTTTTAATTGTTGTTAAGGATTTGTTATACTCTAGGCCGTATATATAAATTGTAATCATCCTTCTCTTTAAGCATTGCTTTCGGTTTCAATTCCGGATTTCTTCTTTTTCTTCTCCTCCGTTTATTCAAACGTCGATCCATCGCGTAATTGTTGGCTTTTCTCTATTTCCATATGAATTTTAATTTTGTCCATAGTTTGTTCTCTTTTTGCTCTCTCTAGATTTTCTGCAGAGATAGTTATTCTGTCTGGTTTTCGAATTTTTGTTACGTTTCGGGCTATAATTGTCTTGTTTTCGTGTGGGATTAAGAAATTTGGCTCCAACATTGCTTGGTAGGAGTTGAAAGAGTGAAGAATATAGAATGTCTGTGACAGCAGGTGTTAGTGATACTGTGATTGCAGTAAGGGATAAGCTCAGAGGTAAAATTGGGCAAAGAAAGTTACAAGGTATTGGCCCGGAAAAGCTCCCAAGTGGGCAGATGCTGCCGACGAAGATGGGGATATTAGGATGTTCAAGGCAGCAGAATCTCCCACTCAGGATTCTCATTCTTACAATGTTAGGAAAGATGATCCTAGGCTGCGTCGTTGGGTTGAAAGCAGGACGGATAACCGTGAGGATGTTAGAGCTGACCATAGGCGTTTCCGGCAAGCTGAGATTGTTGCGACAACTGAAGAGGAAGCCATGACGCACCAAGGTTGGAAGCGGAGGAAAAGGAAGCAGATGCCAAGGAGGAAAGAAGACAAAGGATTAAGGAGAAGATGTTGCTTCAAAGGGAGCAAGAAGATGAAGCTCCACTGCTTCCGTCAGAAGACGAGGAAGAGGAGGAGAAATCTGAGTATGATACTGAATCAGAAGAAGAGCTTGATGTCATGTTGATGCTGAAGCCGTTGTTTGTTCCCAAGTTGGGGAGACATACTATCGCTGAGCATGTGCTACTTGAAGCCGAAGAATGGGCCCTTGAGGGGTCAAGGAAGAAGAAATTGGAGGAAAGGAAGAGAAAGACAAAGCAGATTGTGGTTGAGGAGATCTGGAAGGATAAAGGTTTGGATCAGGAAGCTAACATTGTTGCTGATATTGATAGTGATGATGAAGTAAACGAGGCAGAGGAGTATGAATCTGGAACACAGGAGAGATTGTCCGGATCAAGAGTAACAGGGAGGGCCGGGAAGTGATGTTGAAGGAGGAGGAGACTGAAAAGGTCAGAAACATGACGGAAGAAGAGAGGAGCGAGTGGGAGAGGACGAACCTAAAACCTGCACCACAACCAAAGCAGAAGTGGATGTTCATGCAGAAATATTACCACAAAGGTGCTTTCTTCCAGTCGGAAGCTGACGGCTACGCTACAAGGGCGGGAACAGACGGCATCTACGCACGCCATTATTCTGCCCCAACTGGAGAAGCTAAGATGGACATAACAAATTGCCCGAAGTCATTAAACACTGTAAATGTCGAGAATCATAAGGGTTAACATTGTTTACTCGAAAGAAGTATTGCTAACCAAGAAAGGCCTTGTAACTTCATTCACTTGTAAGTGTCTGAGGTTCGAATCTCGTGAATGGTGATTGATGAGTTCAATACTAATTTATTCTCTCATACCGCCAATTTTCCGTGGATGTGGCGTTATGTTGCTGAACATCTCACATTCCATCGTCAAGTAAATATTACCACAAAGCTGCTTTCTTCCAGTCGGAAGCTGATGTCTCCGCTACAAAGGCGGGAACAGACGGCATCTACGCACGCCATTATTCTGCCCCAACCGGAGAGGCTAAGATGGACATAACAAATTGCCCAAGGTCATTAAACACTGTAAATGTCGAGAATCATAAGGGTTAACATTGTTTACTCGAAAGAAGTATTGCTAACCAAGAAAGCCCTTATAACTTCATTCACTTGTAAGTGTCTAAGGTTCGAATCTCGTGAATAGTAATTGATGAAATGAATTGAGAGAAGTAAATACGTAGATCGAAAACACAAAACAAAATTACTGATGCATTGAACAAAACTTTGTCAAATGAATTGAGAGCATGGTAATTACATACCATTTTTGACAATTACATACTTTTTGCCCCATCTCTCATGGAGAAGAAAACCATTTGCTTTATGTACACCACCCAACAAAAAACACAAGAAATACATAATCTTATAAACCCTAAACCCTACTCTTCCAGTCTTCCTCCTCTTCTTTCCTTCCCAATTATACCCTTTTCACCATCTCCTCGTTTTTCTTTTTCGGTTTTTTATTGATTTACATATAGAAGGCAGGCCGCGGGAGGCCAAATCACATCCAAAAAAACCTCTCCTTGTATCTTCAATTTATCTCCCTCTCCCCAATAAAAATTGAATGACAAAAGGATGAGCACACAGCAACCTTCTATGATTACCTCGGCTTTGGTTGTGAATAAAATGGTCGGACAAGCCGCTGGGCTGATGGACTGCCCAACAACATAGCTTGAGATCGAGTAAGCATCTCAACCATTGATGGGGTTTGATAGGCCTGAACAAGACTTGAACCATCGGTGGAGTCACCTCTTGCTGTCGCTCGTTGCCATGAGTGTGAGCTCAATCCTGAAAGGATGTACGCTCTGCCAGATGCCTCGTACACATGCCTGCTTGCCATCCTCTCTTGCATTTCCTTGAGCTCAGCATCCAATGCTACGCACAGGCGGTCCTGGGATTTTGCTGACACGGTCTCTGACAATACCCTTCGACAATTTTCAAGGGTTGAAACTGCACCGGTTAAGTCTCCCAGCTCAGCCGCTCCTCGTGCTTGAGCCATTGCCTCGGCTGCCTGGAGCCTATTACGTTGCCTGTCCACTTCTATTGACACTACTGCTTGCCGAGCTACATCAGGTCTCTCAATTCTAACTTCTTCACTTTCTATTGTTGCCGTTTCTTTATTCAAGGGATCCTTGTAAATGCATCTCACCTTTATCAACGATGTGAGATTGCTACAAGACTCTGTTGGGACATTAACTGAAACCAGAAAATCCCTCTCTTCATCGGCATACATATCTCCAACATCAATAACCCCCTTCCGTCCATCACCCATCACACGACTTGGGTAGCTTCCTGCTTTTACTGAACCAAGGCAGAGACTTGTGTTCACACACTCAACTACCACCTGCAGCTCTTGCACCACGACACTCAAAAGCCCCCCAATGCATTGTGCAAATGCATCCTGGATTACAGCTTCTGTCTCGATGAAAGAAAATGTTCCCCCAGATATCTCTGAAATCGAGTGCATCGATGATGCATCGTGATCTGCACCGAATCCAAATGCATGCACTGGAATCTGGAAGCCTGTATTGTCGCTGTGATGAATAGACAAAGGGAGGAGCAACTGATAATTTGGCTGAGATTGGTTAGGCCCAGAGCCACTGACAGTATAAGTGTCCTGCCCATCCGACAACAGTATTATACTGGCAACAGGATTCTTTCCCCTTCGATCTTCCAATACCTTGCCACCTTTTCTTAAGCCCTCAGCAATGTTGGTCCCACCATTTGCAACCAGAGAGTTAACAGCTTGCAGTGCCTGCTGGCGTCCAGTGTCAGTCATTCGGCGGAGGGGAAAGAGGCGACGTGCTGTTGAAGAGAATGCAATAACTGAGAGTCTGTCGTTGGAGCCAAGATTCTGTATCACGAACCCCATAGCCCGTTTTAGTAATGCAAGCTTGGTTCCTGCCATGCTACCACTGGTGTCGAGCACTGTGACTAGGTCTACTGGAGCACGATGATTGTGTGAAAACTGAGGCAAACTGGAAAGATTTATGGTAGGATTTTGACTTGTAACTGAAGTAGCAGCTTTCAGATGCACCAAAACAGTAAAACTGTCGTGAGAATTGGATTTTGAAACAGCTGTCACCTCTGGGAATGTTTTGATCTCTATCGTCCTAACAAAATTGTCGTTTCCACCATTCTTATTGCAAGAGCTTCTCTCATCAAACACAGGTTGGTGATCTAAGGTTTCGTCATCATTAAATACACCCGGCTCGTGTGCCTGATACAGTGGCACGATGTGCCGTCGGCTCAAGTCTCTTCGAGGAGGAGGTAGTCGGCGAACCACAGTCATCAAAGCATCATTTTGGGGCCAACCTACCGGACCAATAGCTGGCCTTCCAGGAGGAGGATCCAGACTAGGACCCTGCACTGGGATTTCTTTCCACTTGGCCCTACAAACTGGGCAAATTTGGTTGCCATGTTTCACGTTTGATGTGATGCAATGAAAATGAAAAGAATGTGAGCATTCGGCGGTGAAAAGAGCCTGGCCACCTCCTTGCTTCATCTTGGTTAAGCATATCGAGCACGTTTGCTGAAAACATAAAACAAGTGTAAGAAACAAATCATAAATAAGCCATATCAATCAAACGACGTACATTATCACACACTGGCTTCGTCGAACTTTAAAAAAATTTAAACAATCCCACCAGAGAAAATATCATTCATCAACACCGCGTGACGATTCTAACACATTTGAGCAATTCAACAGCATTATGCCAGGTACAAAACCAACTATGATACAAAAACTAGTCATGCAAACAAAAGGAAGGAGGAATTTTTTTGTGGTAAGAGATGCCTTTAA